TTTATCTCACAATTATAATTTCTTTATTAATTTGGAGTTTTTCAGTTAATATGTTTTCTAACAACTAACAATTTTTTTACAATCTTCCCAAGATTCACTAGATAGTTCTTTAACACCATCAATTCGCAAATTATTTCTATGGGATGGGTTTTCGAAATCTCTTAATTTTTTTTAAATATCTTTCAAAATATTTGATTCATTATTCGAATCAAGAAAAACACATCTTTTCACTTTGAAATTCCAGCCAAAATGCAATCAAATGCTGTTGGTTAACAAGCGGCATTTAACAGCACCCTACGAAAGTAAGTTTGTGTAAATAAACAAGTGTTTTTACTGAAGTTTATACTGTTTACATTGGCAAGACAAAAATAGCAGTTTAAATTGTTTCACTTGAATTAATATATCATTTATATATTGTTTACTTTCACTGAAAATAGCATGCTATATATCTGTGGCTTACATAGAAAATGAAAAAGTTATATGAACAAATGAACTCTTCCACAATTAGAACATATAAAATCATACTAATGATTAGAATTTAGTCATATTTGAGCTGATTTTACAAATGAGGTTCTCTTTTTATATACTTGATATTTTATTGAAAGTAAAGTTGGATCCAGTTTGAGCCCTTTTTATATAAAAACTATTATTGTTGCAGCTTAAGTGAGATTTTGTCTCTTTTTCAATCAACTAAACCTTAATCTAGTGTGACTCTTTTTTTTATGTTTACTTCCAACCTTAATAGTTGTTGCTTAGAGATTTGTTAGAAACAGTAGATTTGCATTTGTTTATAACTTGGTAACAAGTTTTATAAAGTCTCAGGAACCCAAACTCTGAGATTTAATAAGCTTAGTTATTTAAGAATATTGCATCTTAGCGTACGGTAATACAATTTTGCATTGATGCATAAGAAGTAACAGATAAAAGTTTTATTGAGATTATAGCATGATCCGAACCATCTAAATGAGAACAAGAAAATACTGAGCACATGATGTAATTCAAGTAATAGTAAAAGTAAACTGAACGATATAGGACTAATGATGATCTTCACATTCACTTCAAAATCACTTTACATTCACTTCACATTCATTAAGTTATTAAATATATGAATTTTAAAAATTCTATTAAGTATTATTTGTTACGACTTATATATTTTGTTTTGTTTGTTATTGCGCTTTATTTTTTGTTTGGATTTATTATTAAAAAGTTGTTTTCTTCTGTTTACTCTCAAATGCTCCAGCCTCAAGGACGTTTTCAGGGCCGATGATAAGTATTTCAAAGTAAGGAAGACGCCATCATCAATTTGTAAAAAAAGTCCTCCCTATCTAGATTTTTTTTAAAAAAAAGATCCCTTAGAAAAAAGTGTTTTTGTGTGTGTGTGTGTGTGTGTGTGTGTGTGTGTGTGTGTGTGTGTGTGTGTGTGTGTGTGGGAGGAGGGGGTTACTTCGTTTCGTTGGCACTCTAATACTCAAGTGATCGACTCTGCTGATCACTTGAGTACTAGAGCCCCAAGGGATTAGTGAGTTAAATTATGAGTTAGAGCTTAGAATTGCAAATTGTAAAAAATATCCTGTTAAAATTGAGAGTTGTGACTTATTGTGAATTACTAGCTAATTAAATGTTTCTAGTTTAATGTTCAATCCTGGGCGAAAACTCTTCAATTTACGGGCGTTTTGTCTTAAGAAGATTTACTAGAGTTGCTTTCTTTAAAGGTCTCTAAAGGAACAGTTAATTTAAAAAAACGAGTTTTACACTATATGATTACAAAAAATCAAGTTTTAGATGAAATTCTTCGGAAGAAAATTAATGATTTAGAATATAACCTGTGGTTCTGTGAACTTATTTTTTTAATGAAAACATTTAGAGTTGTGAAACAAAAAGCTTAAAAGATGGGAAACTACCATTATTAAATTTATCAAGAAAGAGCTAAGAATCGATATCATAGCGAAATGGTTTTTAACTACTTCATTGGAATGCTTCTTACTATCTTATTATAATATCATAGCGAAATGGTTCTTAACTACTTCATTGGAATGCTCCTTACTATTTTATTATTCTAGTAATTTTGGTAACTTAAAAATACTAAATTTCTCCAAATTAGATAGTAGAGTTAAACCTACTTTGCAGCAATGCAGGCAGTTGTATTCACGAAATACAAAAATGAAATTGAACAAATGAAATTTTTTTTCATAATTGCAATAAAAAAATTTGTTTAGAAGTTAGTAAAGAGTTTGATTACTAATAATTCAGACACTGATCAAAAAAGGACTTTACACAGCTATCATTCATGAGATACCATCCCTCAATAACAATATACAAGCTATCCAGACCGGTAGAATACGGTTCTTGGTAAGTCTGTTACACACCGACCATAAATTTGTTGGGAGAAGATACACAACTTCTTTACTTAAAGCCTATTAAAAACCTCTCCTCAATCATTTTAAAAAAAAGAAGGTTTGAATGTAACATCTATTCAACTATAAAATACTTGAAAAGTAAAACTGGAAACCTTAAAATAAACTTTAACATTTACCTAATTTTAAATTGAAATTAGCTAGATATAGCCACATTTTATAATAAAAAAGTGCTAACATATGTTGTCACCAATAACTTGGCTTTAATGACTGCCACGAGTTCTGTATCAAACACGCACGAATATAAAACGGCAGCATTAAATACACTATAATATATAATAGATTGGACATACTTTGCTTATAACGTTTTTTAATATCACTCACTGGCAGGTGAAGACATTTTAATTCTTCTGAAAGATGATAAATTATTTGAGCAGCGATCATGTATTTGTAGATCATGGTATTTGTAGAAAAAAGAAAGAGATGAAACTTTATGACAGAGGCTCAAGCTTAGAAAATAGAGCCGGTCCAGCAACGTTTACAATAACTTTTCGGTCTTTGTCTAAAACAGAAAGAGCATCATTAGAAAAACCAGCCTAAATATGACAAGAGTATTCCATACAGGGACGAATAAGAGATTTGTAGAGAATAAGATTTTGCTGAAGTAGAGAATGAAATCAAGAGAGAGAAAATGGCGAGCAAGACAAAGAGAAGCAACCTTAGCAGAAACTTATTTAGCGATTGATTATATATACGGTTTCCGTAAAAGGTCGGTAGTAAATGATAATCAAAGAAGACGTAAAAAAGAAGACTTCGTAAGAGGGTTGTTATTCATTTATATAGAAATATCGACAGTACTGCGATATTTGTTTGCAGTAAACAACTGGGTTTTGTTGGAGTTAAGATTTACAAGCCACTGTGAGCCCCAATATTTTAAAGAAGTGAGATCAGATTCAAGATTGGCTACCTGTTCTAAGCAATCAAAAAAACTTTTTGTCAAAACAGAAGTATAAAGATGAGTTACCAACAAAAAGAGCTACTTTAGGTGTAACGTTGTCTGGAAGATTATTAATGTAAATAAGAAACAAAACAGGAATAAAGATAGAACTTTAAGATACCCAAAAGTTACTAGAAAAGAAGAAGAGTGTTGGTCTATGAGGATGATTTTAATAAAGTATTTGGAAAGAAACAATTTGATAATTTCAAAAACTTTTCCAAATACGCTATATGAAGCTAGGTTATAAAAAAGACCAGCATGCCAACCTTTATCATATGCTTTAGATATTTCAAGAGCTATGGCTCTAGCCTTTCAGTCTCCATCTAATACACGATAAAATCTTTCAGTCACAGCAAATCAGCTGTAGAGCGTTGGGATCGAAAACCGTATTGATTGTCTGACAGTAAGTTTGACTCAAGATGGGATGTGAGAAATTTGTTTATTAAAGACTCAATGAACTTGCTATAATTGGAGGGGTCAGAATGTTCCTTTGAGTTTTTAAAAATTGGAGCAACATATGTCATTATCCAGCATGTAGAAAAACAAGACTCAATCAAGCACTTTTAAATAGCTTTGAGAGAATTGAAGATGGTTCTGGATAACAAATTTGTAAGACTACAACAGAAAATGTTGTCTGGACCACAAGCTGTAGAAGAGTTTAATCGAGATATGACTTTAGCAACGGAAGCTGGAGTGATTTGAATGTTTAACAATAGGTTAACCTGTTTAATTGGAATGGAAGAAAGAAAATGGCCATAAGACTCGAGAGTTAAATTGGAAGAAAATTTTCTATTTGTAAATAGTTCTGCTTTATCCGTGGGAAAGGTAATATGATCAGTCCCATGAATGAAAGATGGAATGTTAGACAATCCTTTATTAATGATGCTGTTAAAGATTTTCCAAAAGTCTCTAAAGCTTAACTTCTGAGATAATATACAAGATTTAGTGAACTGAAAATAATGGAAATTAGCATCTAATAGAGAAATAGAATGGTCAATTTGATGAGAAAATACATCTATAAGAGTGCAATCTTAGGAAGAAGGAGAACGATAAAGAACAAAGTGAAAAGGTGTTAAGCGAAAGAACATAAAAGATCGGTCACAGGATTTGAACCTGATATCATGACTAACTGATTTGTGAATTGATTCGTATATAGACCCCTAATCCAAACATGTAACTTGAGATAGTTTATCAAAAACGGGTAAAAATGGGGTTTAATTTACACACACACACACACACACACACACACACACATATATATATATATATATATATATATATATATATATATATATATATATATATATATATATATATATATATATATATATATATATATATATATATATATATATATATATATAAACAAATTGAATAATAAGTATACTGACATTTGTTTTAAAAATAAAACATGCTGGTTTCTAGTATTTTACTATCGGATTAATAAAAATAATACAAAAGAAAAAAACAAAAACCACATGAAATCGGATTTTTTTTAGGAACAAGCCTGATAAAATATTTGATATTGTTTTCCGACTCTCAAATTAAATTCCTTTTAGAAATAATTAAAACGATTGAAAAAAGAAACAGTAATCACAGTAACAATTGAAACGCATTGTAAAATAAATATTTGTCATTTTATAATTTTATCTCAAAGGCGCTAATATATTTTCGGAATGATAAACATGGCAGCGAATTTGTATACACGATTTTTCCTAATAACATATTTTTCCAGTCACTATTAGTTGCGTTGTATTAAAATGGGCGATGACGATGACTGGCAAAAACTGTCTATTGAAGATAAAGTTAGTCACAAGGTGAAGATTTCAAAAATATTCATTCTTTCCAAAAGAATAAATGAAATTTACTTGAGTAAATAAAGCTTGAATTCAAATAATATTTATTTTACACGTTTAATATAATATAAATTAAAACGATAAATAAAATCATATAAATCTTTTTTTGATGAAATGGAGTGTAAATTAACAGTTTTGATAAAATTATATTATGTGCTTACTTAAAGTTTATTTATTTTTTCAATCTGCATTCAAATCTGAATACAAATAAATTACCTACCAGCGGTTATAATAATATTTATAATTATACTCAATCGTAATATAGACTAATATAGTGTTAATCAGTTCATTGCTTAATTTAAAAAATTTATAGCAAGCCAGTAAAAAATTGCAAAATGTAAACATGAGCTTTTGGAATTACAATTTTCATAAATATGAATAAAATTGGCTGCATACCTAATTTTACAATTGCTCTGAAAATTTTAATGAAAATCTAAACTCATTGAAAATTGATGATAAAAAAATGCATTTAATGACTATTTATCAGGCCATCATATCTTTAGTTTAATCCTTTTGTTTTTAATTCTCATTTTAGTGAATTCAACTAACAATAGCATAAAATTGATCTATAAGATCTATCATCTATAAAAATTCAGATTGTTGATTGACTTAATTATAATTCCATACATTATCAATGTTTTGACATCTTAGTTTTGCTCTGTATTAATTGGTAATTTATACTGTATTAATGCTGTTTTTCTTATATTCGCAATCTTAACTTTGAAATTTTTTTCCTTTATTTGAAGTTTTTTTATGTCATCTGTGATGCATTCTTTTCATATTTTTCTACTATCTTTTTCCTCTAAAACCGCTATCTTATCTCCAGCCCTTGGAATTAGGGTCGAAATTCGACAATGCCAACCTAACTGCTTACCTTAAAGTGTTTGAGGATTGCAAAAAATTGCTGAACTTATATCAATGTTTTATGGTAAGACCTTTATATCAAATTTTTTTTACCAACCTTATTTTTCCTAATTCTGTGGGTTGCATCTCGAAATAGTGATGTCCAATTATCTGCACTCTTATAACCTTGCTTAAAGAAGCATATGTAGTAGTAGTTTGTTTGCTGAAACTATTTTATCTTTTTTAAATATAAAGTAGTGTGTCTACATATTACAGCTCCTTAGCTAGAAATATGAACTACCTATAGATTTATAGTTATGCTTTAACCAGCCATAAAGCTTCGATATGCAGCTATTGATATATCATTACAACATCGGTAGCTAAAAAGCTATGATATGTGGCCATTGACTAGGTCTAAAATCATTTTTATGTTGTAGTTAGCTACATACCTACTACCTCTGGCTAATTATATATTGTAGTAATATTGCTAGCAATAAAGCTGTAATATGTAGCCATCAGCTACAGTTTTGTTGTTATATTGTAGCTAGCTACATTGCTATGATATGTAACTAATGATATATTGCAGCAATATTGATAGTTACAAAGCTGCAATATCTAGATAGTTGCATGTCATAATAAAATTGTAATGTTATAAGTTCAATTGTTGTTGTAAATTTAATACTAAAACTTGAATAGTAGAAATTGAATTTTTTTAAGACAAAGACAAAATGAAATAATAAAATAAAAATGAAATAAAATCCATAAAAAATTGCTATAAAGCTAACTTTTCACAAACTAGTCATTACCCACCTGGATAGCTTTATCCAGGTAAAAAAGATAAAAATTTATCAAAAACATGTTTTTGTTGTTGAACCTCTTTTTATCTCCTAAGTAATATAACCACATCAAGATTTAATGCAACGTAGCACTTATCTTAATAAAGTTAATATTATCATTAGTCTATTCTTTTAATAATGGGCTAGTAATTATATTCTAATAACTCTGAATCTTTTTCTACTTATTCCATTGTTTTGTATTTATATTTATTTAAAAATTTAAATAAATGATTTATTAATGTACCTTTCTTTGTATATAGGCTTAATGTGCTCGTATTTGTTATACCAATAATCAATTTATTAATTCATTAACCTAATACTTCATTTTTAATACTCCTAATATAGTTTGAATTTTTATGTGGTTTTTAGTTATGGAAAGCTCGACTTGCTGGTTATGAAGAAGCTGCTAAAAAGTTTCGCTTAATTGACAGTGATAAAAGTCCAGAGTATCTAAATTTTTTAGGAAGCATAAAAAATTTTGTTACTGACTCTAATGCAGCAGCTCAAGAAAAGGGACTGGAAGCTGCCCTTTCATTTGTTGAAAATGCAGCTTGTGCTTCAAAGTATGTTAATTTTAATATGCTCAGTAAATTAAATTTTTTTTTTTAACTAAAATATATATATATATATATATATATATATATATATATATATATATATATATATATATATATATATATATATATATATATATATATATATATATATATATATTGGGTAATTGAAATTTCTTTATGTTAGGTTAACTAATGTAAAAAATATATATTATTTTCAGATGTTGTTCAGATGTTGTCACTGGTATAATTTCAAAAGTATTGACAGCCAGACCTAAGTCTAAACAATTAGGAGTTGATATTTTGCTTATGTTTATTGAAATTGAAAAACAAGATGTTGTGATGGTAATTATTTGAAATAATTTTTTTTTTCAGTTATTACTAGATTTTGTTACTTTTATAGTATTTTTATTTTAGTCATGCTATACCATAATGCAAAATAAAGGAATGCAAAATTCTATTCAAAAGATTTATTTATTGACTAATTTTAATGGTTTTTTTAAAATAGTTTTTAACTTAATGCAAACGTTTTTGTTAGTAATTTCGATATAGGTTTTACTTTAAATGTACAGTTTTTAAATAATTTAAAGTGTTATAATGCCAAATCTTTTTTCTTTAGGAAGAGCTTGTAAATGGTTTTTCCCAAAAAAATCCAAAAGTTATTGCTGCTTGCATATCAACTTCTTGTCAGGCATTACGGTTTGAATTTAAAATACCAAGTATAACGTTTTTATAGAACCACCACCACCACCATTATCATCATCATCATCATCATCATCATCATCATCATCATCATCATCATCATCATCATCATCATCATCATCATCATCATCATCTTTTTTTATAATTAAAACTTTGTTTTTTTTTTTTAAGAGAGTTTGGAGGTAAGGTTATTATGATGAAAGGTCTTGTCAAACTTATTCCAACTCTGCTCAGCCACAGTGACCAAGGTGTTAGAGCTGAGGTAGTTTAACTTTTATTTTTTTATTGACATTTATGCATTATTTTTTTTTTTTTATAGTTTTTTTTTATATATAATTTACATATAACTTTGTTTATATACAAATTCTAAAGGTTTTGTTTTTAGTTAAATTAAAATTATTATTAGACTAAAGAGCTTGCCATTGAAATCTTTAAATGGATTCGAGATGCAATTAAACCTCAGCTTTTAAATATTAAACCAGTTCAAGTAATTTTTTTTTTTAATTTTTTAAGCTTCTTTTTTTTTTATAAAAATGTTAGTATTTTTTCTATTAAATATATTTAATATTAATAAAGTATTTTTATGCCTTCTAACTAAATTTTAAAGCTTAAAGAACTTGAAGATGAATGGCAAAAACTAGAAGCCGTTCCACCAGTTCCAACAAGGTTTACACGATCCGAACAAGCAAAACGTGCAGCTGCACCTCCTCCCACTATAGCTGCTGGAGGAAAAGTTGATGAGAATGGGGGTGCTCCACAAGGTAAAAAAAAAAATTTATCTCAGAAAAAGATTGCAGAACTTTTATATTTTTAGAATATATAATTTTACTACTTTATGGTCACAATAATGCATAAGCAAAAGTTCATGGTTGCAATAAAGCATATGCAATAGTTCATGTTTACAATAATGCATAAGCAATAGCTCATGGTTGCAATAAAGCATATGCAATAGTTCATGGTTACAATAAAGCATAAGCAATAGTTCATGGTTATAATAATGCATAAGCAATAGTTCATGGTTGCAATAAAGCATAAACAATAGTTCATGGTTACAATAAAGCATATGCAATAGTTTATGGTTACAATAATGCATAAGCAGTGAGCATTTTGGTCTAGTTTAAGAAAGTATTTAATAAAAAGATTTTACTTTTCTATATAAATATTTGAAAGTCAGAAACTTTAATAGTCTAGTATATATTTCATAACATATAGTTGTCAACCAAATTTTTTAGATTTTACTTTTCTATATGAATATTTAAAAGTCTGAAACTTTAATAGTCTAGTACATATTTCATAACATATAGTTGTCTGGTTTACATGGTTTTGCTACAGAAAAGATTTTACTCCATTAGAGTTACCTTTTCTAAAATGGGTCATTCCTACATGGAGTGTGACAAAGGTATGGGTTTCATTAACTTCCTGTTTTTTTTAAATTAATTTTCCTAGATTCATATCTTGTAGAAATCCTTATGATGGCACATATTTGAATACATTGTTTGATAGAAATAAAAGAAATAAAAGAAAACTGTCATTATTAGAAAAATCTTTAAACTTGTATACTGAGAAATCTTTAAACTTGTATACTGAGTCTCTCAGACTATATATAATCTCTCAGTGTATAAGTGGCTAAATCTAAAAGTCTTTTTTTATTTATTAAGTTATTGTGATTTCAAAAAGAGCTAATTATGTTAAAAATGGTAGTCTATCTGTTACCATCATCATGATCGGTTGAAATTTGGACGATTTTAATATTTTGTGAAGTATATGTTATTATCTCCACAATTTTACTTTGCAATAATTTTGTTGTAGTGTTAATATATAAATCATGAAGTTTTTTATCACTTTTTGCGCATTTCCTTCTTTTCCTCAATATTCCCTTCACAATTGCCCAATAAGATTCAATTACTTGTTGCTCAGGACAGTTTAGTGGATTAGCATCTGTTGGAACAAAATTCATTCTATTTTTTTTACTGCATTACTTTTTTTGGACTAGTGGATAAATACCAGGTCTCGCCAAAATAAGAGTGGTTGTTTGTGCTTTTTAATTAGAGTAAGAAGTCGTTTTTTCAAGCATTTAGTCACATTTAGATCTGATATCAAAGATTGATTTGTTATAAAAGGAGAGCTTTTAAAGCCACAACTGCAAGTAGCCTGCCATACAAGAACTTAGGAGCGTTTTTTTCAATTTGAATGTACTTAAATTTGTCAGATGTTTTATAACGTTTTGACTGATAATAGTATTGATTACCTGGAAGCATCGAGTGATCTCTTTTTATGATAAGTTTCACTTTCTTTTTATTAATTTTACATCGTCTTTTAAAATGCGTAAGTTTTTCATAATTAGTTTAAGCAAATTTTTAGCTCATTCAATTGACTTGATTTCTCCATCAAGCAACCTTTTTGGTATTTTTTCCTTGTAATATGCTTTCAAATTTTCCTTTTTGAATACTCTTTGAACATATGATCTACTGCATTTAAACTATGTAGCTAAATCTTGTTGTGACTAAGTCCGATTTCGATGAATTGAGTCGACTATGATTTTGCCTTCTTTTTGGAAATAAATCTTGATTTTCCATCACTTCTCAATTTTCTTCATACAGTTTTGTTCTCCTTATAATTTTTATAACAATTCCAACAGTTCGTTTTGAAACTTTACATGCTTTTGAAATCATAGAGTATGAGAACGATGGATTTTTTATGTAAAATTTCAAAATTTTATTTAGATTTTCAGACTCTTTACTCGACATTGCTTAAATGAGACTAATAAGTAAACTAATGAGACTAATAAGTAAACTAATGAGACTAATAAGTAAACTAATGAGACTAATAAGTAAACAAAACTAACACCCACCCACAAAAAGTAAGCAAAACTAATACCCACCCACATAAAAACTAATTATATAACACCCAATTACAAAAAAAATAATTATAAACCAATATTATATTTAAAAATCATTAAAATTGATTAATTGGTTTTTTAGAAAACTCAATTTAAAACCGTCCAAATTTTAACTGATTATGTTGATATAGTCATTACAGTACCTGGTATTTTTTGTCAGTAATTAATAAAAAATTAGCTTTTATAAATTTATGAATTTAGGCTTTTGCAAAGTGGGATGAATAGTTTTGTAAATGTAACATGGTAAACAAGAATGCAATTTATTGCATGTGGTATAGGAATGCAAATTATTGTAAGTGGTTCATTGTGGTCATTGTTGAACCTAGTTTACCTTGAATGAGTTTATACCAAATTTAAAACTAGCTGATTTTCAGTCAATATCTCAATAGGCTCAGAGTTATTAGGGGCCCAAGACTAAGTTGAAAAAAAAAATGTCAGTACAAAAAATAACATGCATATAAACATTTAACTCTGTACTATTATTAAGAATTTAATAATCTTGGCTAGTTCTTTAAATAGTGAACAACTTTTTATTTAAATATATCTACAAATATTAAAATAAGTTATTCTAATTTATAAAATATTATACAATTTTCAAAGTTGCAGTTATGAAGTCGTAACAATTTAACCCAAAGTATTATAATTAAGCAACTTAAATAATTTAGAAATATAATATATTGAAATAATGCTAAGAAACTGCATTAAGAAAAAAGAATCTTGAAGGAAAACATATGCATCTAATTTGGTACGACATTCAAACATATGCACCTAATTTGGCTAGTTGCTTAACTTGATGGTCATATGAGTCATATTTCTTTAGAAACTGTTAAAAAAGCAATTGAAAGTTATATAACTATTTTGTGTTTGCCAGCACACTGTTTGCATCTGCTAAAGCCACTTGATGTGGGAGTCTTTCGCCAAGTTAAATATATATGGCATGAAATTCTGGCTAATTGGTATACCAAGTTAAGGCTGAAAGTGATACGGAAATCTGTTTTTATATCTTTACTAAAAAAACTTTATGATACCTCCTTTAAGCCAGCTCATTTAGTAAAATCATTTGCTGAAACTGGAATTTTTCCCCTTGATCCATCTGCTATATCCTCTGACGAGTCAACTTCTTCCAAAACTATAAACATCCTTTTTCTCAGAAAACAAATAATTGGGACAATAACATCCCTCAAAAAAATTAAAAAGACGCTATGGAGGTGTCTTACATCAGAAGATACATTTAAAAGATTAAACAATGAAGAATATGAAGGCTTTAAAAGAAAAATCAAGCAGCAAGGCAAAATACAAAAAAAAAAAAAAAAAATTTATCAAAAATAACAAACACAGAAGAGTTAAAGTTAAATGTGGGATAAAATTAACTACCTCATCTTTAACTCTGTAAAGTGAACAAGTGAACATATTTTTTTTAATATTTATTTAGTATTGTAATAATAATTTTTAATCTTAGTATTTTGTTTCATGTTGTACCTAATACTTTAAATGGTATAAATTTTGAAAACTGAAAGATGTTAGGCTTTTTTTCTGAATAATTAGCACTTGAATTTAGTTGCCAGTTTTTCTGTTTTTTTTTTATTTAAGTTTTGTAATTAGGTGTTATGATTTTATTGTTATTATTTTTTAAATGTCTTTTTATTTATAAAAAAATCTTTCAATACATTAAAAAGAATAAAAATGCATTTAAGGACAATGATGGCACAAGACCGTTTGTCTGTGTTAAGTCTATTAGCTATTGAAGCAGAAGAAGCAGCTCAATTAGATTTAAAAGATGTAATAAATCAATTTGCAGCTATGAAGGCATGAAAAAAACAGTTTCATTAGATATTCTTCATACAATACTAACATACTATTTCATACTGGTATCTGTTATTAATATATCATTAACTTGGGTTTTAGAATATGCTTTTTTGTTTCTATGTATAATTTTTTTCAAGAAGGAGGGTAAAGGCAGGGTAGGGGGATGGAGTGGAAGAAATAACAGATAAGTAAATTAGGTGCCCAGAATAAATTTTTGTGCGAGGAAGAGTGGGCAATTTTTTGTCGCTACGCTACTGGTTTAAACCCTAGTTCAAATACCAAGTGATAAAACTTGTATTATTCAAGCTCAAGTAATTTTTTGTAAAACTTATTTAAAACATTTTAAATGCTAGACATACGTTTTTGTTTTTAGTTTTCTGTTTGTTTTTTCAATATTATTATTTTATAAACAAGCACACAAACACTCAAATACATATAAACAGGCAAAAGTATACTATATGTTCATGTTATTTTTTAATAGTGTTATACTATATGTTCATGTTATTTCTTTATAGTGTTATACTATATGTTCATGTTATTTTTTTATAGTCTTATACTATATCACGGCTGTTTCAAACCGAGCTTAACGGCTTCTTGTTAATTTTTGAAAATATTGACTAAAGGGGTGTTACTAAAACTTTTATAACTTTTGAAATATAAGAGGTAATTTTGTTTTGTAAAAACAATTAAGACATCAATAAAATGTTTTACCTTATGACATTTAATGCATTAGTAGAAAAACTTCTTTTAGTTTAGAATAAATATGACATATATTGAATTTGGCTAAATTTTTGTAATTTGATGTTACTTTTTATCAAAAAAAAAATAGAAAAATATATTCCTAATAGTTATTATCAAATACACTTATTGTTTGACAATAATGAAAACAAAAAAACCTTACTTAATTATTTAAGGTTAACTAAAACAGCCTTAATCGAATTGTGAAAGCAAACCACATTTTTCGCAAAATTATGAAAAACGTCGTTATAAGGGGGGATTAGTTGTTAAATGAGTACTTTTTTTAATATAGAAGTTCTTGATTTAGAAAATTATTTT